GTGCTACAGAATCAGGAAGCTACTCCATCATCACAACCTTCAACCTTGCCACCACCAAATCAGACAGATTTTATAACAAGACGTTGTATTAGTTAAGCAATAACTGAACATTATAAAGAGAATATTACACTTCATTTTTGTTTAACTAATACAACGTCTTACCATAAAAGTTTTCTGATTTGTGAGAATATCGAGTCATTTCATCGCAATATTAGCGATCAACGATGCTGCTTCTTGTAATAGTTTAGACTATGATCATTGCTCTCTGTCCCTGTGTGTGTATTATCAATTTCTTTTCAATGTTGAAGCGTAATAGTCTTTCATATTCCCAATAGGAAAGATTATGCTGGAAATCTTAGTAGAATAAACCGCTTTTGTCTCTAACCTATGCGTGATGTTTCAATAGTATTTGAAATGAAGTTTCATAATAATATCTGTATTCGATACCATATGTTTGATTATAACAAGTAATTCCAAGCACAAGATCTGCAATATCTCTACAACTTCCCGTATTATATTCATTCAACTTGTAAATAAAAAAATTTGTATTAAAATTTTTTAAACACTAACTAGCTGTTATTTATCTTCATTCACAAGTGCTTTCAACCAATTTGGCTTTTCTGACATTTTTCCTCATCTTATGTTATACTTGATATATGAATCCGATTGTAGTCCTTTATTCAAAGGACAAAAGGTAGAGAATATGTCAATCGCTGTGATGGTGTTGGTGAATCTTTCTTTATTGTGCAATAGTTAGCTCTGTTATAGGTTTCAAGCTCTTTATAGAAATGATTGAGTACATGTACGAACTTAACGTACGTAATAATTGGGTTTAAATAGTTTTGAAAGATGAAGATTTGTTACAGTGTTTACACAGTTATAAAGCAGTTGCTTTAGAAGTTTCTTCTAAATTTTTTATGTATGGCAAATGAACGGAAGGCGTACGTCGATTCCAGTGTATACTTTTCCGTTTCGATAATTCCCATTCCTTTTTACTGTACTGACCAATACAAATTTAAGTTACATTGACATCAAATGATCGTGTTTGCAATATGATCACATTGAAGTACATTGTACCAAAAAGTTAACTGACTAATTCCAAAACCACCAAATGTGTGGAGAAAATGTAGAGAACTGATAACCGAATTCGTTGCATTTTGGTCAAATGAATGTTAATGTAAAAATGTTGGTGACTAATAACCTTTGTTCTGCGCTACAGGAATATTAGTAAAGTTCCGGTTTCAATAATTACCCCTTTTAACTTATAAAGAAACCATAACCTTTTACTAGGGTATTTTGTAAGTTGTTAGAAACAGTGGCTTAATGATTAAAGCCTTATTTCAACCTATAATTCGCTGGTTCGAACTCCTCTCCACCTATGTCAATTTGGACAGCTGGATATTTGTTGACACCCCTCACATTTAAAGTATGGCTTAAATCTGAGTACACAATCTTATATATGAGTTTCATCCCGACGAAACACGAGGAGGAATTGAGATTTATTCTCGAATGGAATCTAACACAGTTAATCGTACCAATCGGTTTGCCTAAAAGAATGAAGATTTGACTCGTATAGTTGATACCAGTACGGAATTACTCGTCCATTTATTTGTAGTTTTATCAGGATTTTAGTCGGCTATGTTTCACTATTTTAAACCTTTCACACGACCAATTTTCAATAAATTGTTGAATAAACTTGTTGAAAACAATCTCTGTTATTTTCAGAAAGTTAATTGATCCTTTTTCTAAACCAATAAAGTGAACTAATAGCATAAGTAAAAGGGAACCCAAGCTGATTAATTCTTAAAAAATATGTTTGTATTCACATCCGAATACCAGGTTCTCTGGTATCTATGACTGATAAATAATCAAAGTCATGCTGTTTACACAAATCCGAATTCGTTCCAGAAAGTTTGTAACTGCTCATTATTCTGATTTAGCTGCCCACTCACTTTCAGATCATATAGGTTTTTCCTGGTTCTTTAATTATCCTTTAATTATTAATTTGAAAAAAAAGATCATTTATTACGATGGAAACTAATGTAAAGAATCTTGTCGCAAATGTATGATACAGCAGATTCTAATAATGAACTTTGAAGTATAAAATGCTTCTGCTTCTCGCAAGACTCAAGAAATTCTTACACCATTAAAAAGATATATTCAAATCTTGGACAAAAATGTCCCATACTATCATGATTCTCAATGGTACTAGTTTTAGAATAATCAAGATAGCTAAATCTGCTTAACTGAACGATTCAGGGTAATTCTTCATGCTATGAATATGGAGAACTAGTCGATCTGATCGATATCATGATTCTATCTAACCTTAAACTGGAGTCAGTTATAATCTCAATGAAATCGGAACATGAATTCACCTATAAATAAATATGAATTACAATCATTCAAATAGTCATTGAATATAGGCTTCAATATGATTAATATTAGAGCTTGGATTATGATAAGGCCAGGTGATAGGTTTTGATTTGATTGTCGATAAATGAGTACGAAGTATTTATTGGTAAATATGGATAGTGAATATTGTCGAATTTCTTAAGATTTAAATTAAGTTAATGCCTTAAGAAAATGAAAGCATTAGGATGTAATGGGGATCGAGAAGAATTTTAAAAGAGGGTGTCTATAAAATGATCTAGGTTTAGTGGGGAATACAGAAAGATTAGAGAAGATTCTCATAAATGTTAAGCCTGACATTCGTTTCTGAGTCAATTCAAGTCGACCATTAATTTCTCATTTCAATTGTTCCACTGTGCTAAACTTAACTGCAAATATTCGCTAGGTATTGTAGTTAGTTAACTTGCGCAATAAATACATGGTAAGTTATAATTAGTAACATGTAGTCAGCAGATGATTTGTGAAACTAGAACAGTATGGATAAAATACTAAGTCGCAAACAAATTGTTACCCATTAGCATTTCATCTAAACATATTCATCCCCAATCATCCACTCCACAGTATTAGAAAAAGAAATCAAAGCTTTGTTGCTGGCCGTCATCAGTAAATCATTAAGATTTAAGTCGTTACTTTCAGAAGTTGAGCTAGATGAATGAATAGCTTTCTGTAAATATTGTGCTACTGAGAGATGCACCAAAGTAGTACTAACTAAAATTACTTTAGCGTAACAGGAAAATTTATATGAATTGTGAAAAAGGTTCCGTCAACTTTACAATCCAATATTCATTTACGTTCTAAGCGAATTTAAATCATGTTTATCTTAATTATTCTGTAAACAAGTATGTCATCAGTAAGCCACACTATTCGCATCAAATCAAGGGTTTTGGAATTTACTACCAGTCATAGTTCAAATATAATGAAAACTTCTGATCAAAGGATAAGATCAAAAACAATTCACTGATGGCACGACATATAACAACGGAGATAAATTAATTAGTCTCCAATAGAAACAACGAGAAAGTATTTTTTTTAAATAAAAGAATGTTCAAGATTTCTTTCAAACTGTCCTATATTGTTTCATTCATTCAACACTTAGATATATACAGTGACTGATGTAATAATTAAAATCTGTTCAGTAACTGAATTTTGCAGATTGAATTATGCAGCTTGACTTTGCTACCATTTGCTGGAAGAAATCCAGGTTGTCTAGTTTCTTGTGAATATGCGTTAGTTCTTTCTTGCAACGATAATTATAGGTACAATTTTCTCTGCATGATGTTTGTTAACTTTTCTGAATCATGGTCATGTTTATTGAGTACACAGAGACTTGTTTCACTTTGATTCTGTCTTTGTAAACATCAAATTGCCTTCTGCACTTCTAATATCTTATTGGGTTACATCTTTGGGGATTATCGCTGTAGAGGTGCGTATCAGTTACTGCCTTTTCGAGTTCCCAATAGTCTATCCTCGTCAGAACTTTCTTCACCGTTTGTATTCTTAGTTACCATAGACCAAATCGAACTAAACCTTAAGATAAAACAAAAAAAGTAATGTTATAAAGTCTATCAGGATTGTGTTGTTTTCCGTCAGTTATCAACACCATAGGACGTACAACATTTTTATAGATCTCGTGACATAATTTATCTGGTTTCCTCGTTAATTCTTAATAATTGTTTAGGTATTTGCTAATAAGATGGTGTTAAAACAGAAGTGGCTATTTCGACACGGGAATAAGAAAATTTTCTGTGGCTGATTTACATCTGTAGAATCACTGAAATTCAGTGTTGTCAGAAGTCTTCAATAATTCCTTGGAAGAGTCAGAAAAAATTCTGAAATTACTTCGACCGGTTAATGCTTTTAGGAAACTGTTAATAGAAATCTTTACGATGTTTTATTGTTCTATTCTTACCCTGATCAGACAACTACCTATTTTAGCATACTTTCGGACAGCTTCTAGGATCTTACTATCATGTGAAGTCCTATAAATACTTTTGTATTTTGTAATTAATCGAATCTCGAAATACAGAATCTTCTAAATATGTATAATCGGTGGCAAACCTGGCCTAAATACTAACATCGAAGTATTCATTATCAACAACGATTCTTGAAAAGAACGAGTAATTCTTAAAGTATTAACAATGATAAATTAATCTTCAGATGAAATTACTACGGTATCCACTAATGAAATTAAATTCTAGAAGGGTAAATAGTTTATTACAACTAACCCACAAACGGTAAATCATAATAATAAATAACATTTACCATTATTCCAATATCTTAATAAGTATATAATGTTGATCCTACATTAAATGTGGATTAAGCAGCTAGATATGATAATACATGTTGATACCCTTATTTGATTAAAATGAATTCTTGTAAACTCATTTTGTTTGTCCAACTATTTTGAAATAATGATGTGAAAATTTATATCATTTACATGTCTATCCCTCTATCAATCAAAAAGGTTACCAATTAACATGCTTATTTAACCAATCAAAATTATTCACTTCATTATCTGAGTATATATATGATGATAAAAGCATTAGTGAACTGGTAAATACCAGTCAATTGTGAAGTGGTTCTTTTACTCCATGGAAGAAACACAACTATCTAATGACTTTAATTTTACATCAAAAACTATCACAACTGAAGTTGTTGATGAATACGGAAGTTCAATCGTTTCAACTATTAAAACAAAAAAACGTCGTTCTGGAAAATATTGTTTACATTATTTAAAAATAATCCTCAAAAATATTGGCTTAACTCTATTGTTAATTGCATACCTATATGCTGGAGGTTTTATATTTCGTTCACTTGAAATATACAATGAAGCGCAAGACTGTTTTCAACGTCAGAGTAGTTATTTGAAGAAACTCAATTCAACTACACTTAGGGTCATTGGCACGATAAAATCAATTGATTCTGGTAATGTGGATAATACACAGACATTAGATGAAGTTATTCTGAGTATACTGAATGATTATGCAAATGATTTATTTGCGTTAGACGTGAAACCATCAACAAATTGTACAGCTATATTGGATACACCAGATGGTTCAAAATGGAATTTAGTTAATTCAATATTTTTCTGTGTAACGGTAATAACAACTATAGGTGAGTAAAAACAATGAAGAATATTTCTCTTGAAAGAAAACTAGCAGATTACTGTTGTATTGTTTTAAAACTTCCTAATATCAAATAATTCCAATTGATTTCAAGACTACCTAATGGATATGATAACACATAAGTTCGGCAGATAGTGTTTGGATGTCTGAAGTAATAGATATTAGTTTTTAGTCTTATTAAGAACACCAATAGTACGTTTCAGGTGCGACCAAATGATAAGTCACAAACAGAAGAATATATGTATTTGGACTCTACTGTAGAGAATTATCCAATATATAACTGATGGTATTCGGGTTCTATCGTAATGGACATTAACTCTTCAAATCACTGAATTAAAATATTTGTTTTACTAAAAGAAATTGACCGTTATTTTTGCTTTTTACCTTTATAAATAATTCAACACATTGAAAATAACAGGACTTGTGTTTAAGAAAATCGACTTTTTAAGCAGAAAATTCCAAGACCAGTGCTTCTAGGTTTTCAATGGTGGTCTAACACTGGTTAATCTATGATGTTAGTCAAAAACTCAACAATCGCCGCAACCCCATACTCATAATTGCCATATGCTCACTAGTGAATAGCTTCGAGAGGTAATTCTCGAAGTTTTAGTGAGAAGCCGTGACTAATAGAGCTAATCCGTGTCAGGTAGAGACAGGTTTCTACCTCAGCACAATAGAAGGTAGTCGTGCGATTTCGCGGACTGGTTGAGATTGGACATTAACAGCGCTGGATGCCGATCCAGCGGTCTAGAAGTTAAGCGTTCCAGTGCGAGAACGAAGATCCTGGGTTGAAATCCAGCGTGCAGGGTCGCGAATGCTTACTGCTGAGTCCCGTGCTAGGACGAAACAGCCGTCCAGTGCTCCCAGGCTTTTAATGATGGTCTAACACTGGTCAATTCATGATCTCAATCGAAAACTCAGCAATCTCCGCAACCCCATACTGACTATTCTATCGGTTTTTTAAAAGAAATTTTCAGTATTTCATATAGTGTCAATATATTTTTAGGTTTTATGGTATTAGTCATTCGAATCCTAACGAAATATTTTAACTGTTTGCTTACTCTGTTTTGAGAGTCTACATTCTCATCATAAGTTTAAGGATTCATATTGGGTCAGAAAATACAAAAAGTAGCCTACCCACAGATATATAACTTTTTTAAGTCTTTATTTTCAGTCAAAACATTGTGTTTTTTGTTAAGTGTAATTGAAAAAATCCCCACCAAAATGTATGGTCCTGCACCAACTTCTTATATTTGATTGAGGGCTGTCAATCAAAATAAAAAGTTATGATTTTCTAATTTAAATGAATCCATTTATTAATTGACTGTTGTCCTGATATTCAACAAGTGAATTCACTTAGTCTTAATATTCACTCATCAAATCAGTCCAAAATATTTATCCGAGTTAACACTTCTTCTACTCATATAATTATCTGGGTTGCTAGTTTTTCGAATTATGCAAGTATTATATTTGTTTTCCTGTCAGTGATCTGTTTCGACTAACTGATGGAATTTAATAACCTTCCTGTTCACTGATGTACTATTATTAAATGCTTACAACTTAGTGTAATTTTAAATATTGTTATACTCAAGTGGAGATGCTGTAATAGAATTCAGTATCTGTGTTTTGTCACCTTTATTACTTGCGTTCAAATGTTACTAATCTTACCCGATGGAAATCGAAGCCTGGTAGCTCAGTAGATAATGTGTTAGTGTATGAAGCAATAGTTACTGGATTCGGATCTCAGTGTAAACGTTGACACTGTGAAATAGATGCAGTCACCTGATGAGCCATCAGTTTCTGACAAGAAATTACTTTCAAATTCTGCCAAATATTCACTTAACTTTCTTCATAAATTCATGTATATATACATGTAAGATTCATTGTTTTTGAAACATTTATTTGACCCCCTATTCTTATAATATCAGTTTAATTTTTTTAAAGTTTATTATTGTCACTTTTAACAAAAATGCAAGTAACCGTTTAGTATCAGAAGTGATTTTGTGGACATTATAGTAAATTTATTAGTTGTGGTCATGAGTCAATTGAAGCTAGACCACCACTACCGCACAGTATAATATCAACAAATCCCCTTCTGATACGAATCAACATATGCTCACTAGTGACTAGCCTCAAGAGGTAGTTCTTGGAGTTCTGGTGAGAACCATTGACCAGTAGAGGTTCAACCGAGTCTGTTGTGAGATAGTAACTCACTGAAGACAATGGTAGATGTGTCGCTCAATTTGGTGGATTAGTTGAAGTTAGACAATAACACCATTGGATGCCGGTCAGCTCAGTGGTCTAGTGGTTAGGCGTTCGCGCACGAGACTGACAGACCTAGGTTGGAATCTCGCAAGGCAGGATCGTGAATACGTACTGCCGAGGAGTCGCACAACTGGACGAAACGGCCGCCCAGTACTTCCAGGTCTTCCATGGGTGTCTAGCTTCAAATGACTCATGACCATAACTAATAAAATTACTATAATATCCACAAAACCCTTCTGATATAAATAAATTCGTTTACAAACCTTTTTCAATATTAGATTGCATATTGTAATCACTGGAAACATCATTACAGTGTCCGTCAACTAATATAAACGATCAAAGAGGAATCATAAATACAGAAGAAATATGCACAGGATTTTCAAAGTTATACCAGTTTAACTGGTGCTTAGTCTCATTTTTGTTTCAGAAAATCAAATGAAAATAAAGTGACTGATCAAAGTTAATCAATTTTGTTTAGTCTGGTGGTAATTTTTCTTCAATTAATCTTCAACAAAATACCATACATATAAATCATTTTTTCCAGAATATACCTGAAGAAGAACTTTAAAGAATTACATTTCACACCTAGTCACTACTAAACATTCAAGTTGTTTACTTGAGAATTTCTAGCATATTCTAGAATCGTATCATGCTAAGTCGAAAATAAATGAAAACTAGGGATTTTTATAGCGTGTAAGGAATTTTTACAGAGAATTAACCTCAGTTGAAAAATTGTCAAATGATAATGTACTGAATATTTGTTTTATTCAAGTTCTGAACATCTTAGTAATATGAACCAGTCCCCAAATGCCCCGGTACGGCCGAGAGTGGGGAGAGTTCGCTCTACCTCTCGAAATGCTCTCACATGGCCACGTGCATACAACCAATGTAAGGGAAGTTATACTAACTGCCTTATCGCGGCTGAGCTGGAATTCATTCATAAACTGACCAATATTTAGAGATATGAACCATTGTATTTTGACTAAGTGATTTAAATGTTCTGTTTTGTGTGGGCTGGTTGATGATTACCATTGAATATCCCAAAACTAGCATGATGTTCTCTCTAGTTCTCTCTATTTTCCACAATAGTTCTTCATTGGATGTCAGACCTAAGTGTTGTGTTAGTTAAAACTCATCAACAAGACGTATCTGCACCTTGAGAGAACTGAATCTGTCCGTGAAATTAAAGTCTACATCAATCAATTTTGTAGTCAAAGACGTTACTGCTGATCCTGTCATTGCTGAAACTTTTTGTTATTGTTTGTCGACCTAATAGGCTTACGATAATTGTGTATTCACCTTCGACATTCGAATCTGATTACAAAAGGGTCACAATCCAAAATATCACTTATGTAAGACCTACTACCTAGACATTTTATGCTCACCTTGTCTGTAGATAACTTACCTTCTAATCAATAGTATTTGAGAAAATTGGTCATAGTAAGTAGGTTTTTTGAACCGTAAACAGGATTGCTAGATTTAATATTTTTTTCTCTCCCTCTCTTAAGGCTATGGACATATTGCACCAGTTACATTTTGGGGCCGAATAACCTGCATTATTTATGCTATCATTGGTATACCATTAATGCTGATCTATCTAGCTATTATTGGTAATTTACTTGCACGAGGATTTCGTTTGATCTTCTTAAATTTGGTTTGTTGTCGATGTTTCTATGACATAATAAGACGTAAACGTGAACGACGTAGAAAACGTATGCGTCAGTGGGAAGAAAGTCTTCGTGAACATGAAGAAGAAGAGGCTAGACGAAGAGGATTACCATTACCTCCGAAAAAGGTAACAATTTTGATAAAATGAAATATATCCCTCGAATGACTTTATGATATCCTGAATAATCTAATTTTGAGATGGTCAGTGAAACTGTTAACTCAATAGGATAATTTTTGCTGATATTTGTTGTTGACGTTTTTGTTTAGGGTGACAATAGAACTATAATAATCAAGCGATTTACCCAGGAAAGGATAACACTGTCAACAGGAGTGCATATTTACAATAGTTTTATCAAGTAGATTTAGTTAATACTAGAGTGTGCTTTATATTGGTGATAATCTTTTCAACAAATTTGAGAGGGAAATGTTACCGTATATAAAGTTGTCACCACCTAGTAGAATAATGGTCATATCAATATCTTTAATTTATGGATAACTAAAATGTACACAAATGATATGATTCCCAAAGACTCAGCCTAGCAGCCGTATCTTAATTGATTGGAAAATGAGTGACCTACAAACTAATTTCTCCATCGATCCTTTGTGTGCATATTCTGTATAAAAGCATGTTATTTTATTAGATGGAAACTATTCATCTGACTAGTAGTCTTGTCTTTAATTTCTAGTCACTTGGGGGCCTAAGCTAACAATAAGATCTGGTGAGTAACTATCAATCGGTTACATTAAATCATGGCGTTCATCTATCGATTCGCACTCTATTCATTAGTTTTAACAAACAAAAATTTGTTTTAATCAAAGCACAGTGAGTGAGGGTTTATAAAATGCTTTATGTTTTCCTTGAGAGTCAAAAATTAAGAATTCGAGTTTCATGAAACCGGACTCATCCATGTGCGACCTGCTCAAGTATTTTAAAGTAGTAGATTGCTGTTGGGATCCAGCGGTTTTAATGTCTACCTTCGATCAATGCAAGATATTGTGAAACACTCATCCACGTTCTGTGTTGAGTAATTGTCTTATACCCAACACGGATAGAACTTCACTAGTCACAGATTTTCACTAAACTTTAGGAGTTACATCTTGAAGCTAGTCAACATTGAGGATAGAAATATAAGTAGTATAATGGATTTGTGGGATGGAATTTCCAAAAATCATGAGTTGATTAAAGTTAGACATTAACACCGTCGAATCCCAGCTCAGTGGTCTAGAGGTTAAATGTTTACACACGAGACCAAAAACTGGGGGTTTGATTCCCGCACGCAGAATTATGGGTGCACACTACTGAGTAGTCCCATAATAAAACGAAATGACCGTTCACTGTTTCTAGCTTTTCAATGGTGGGCTATCTGAAATCAGTTCGTGATCTAAACTGCGAAAATTCTAGAATCTCCACAAATCCCCTATATCAAGATAATTTATTGATTGGTATATTATCATTGTTGTTATATGACATTGTGTATGTTAACACGTGAGTAGATTTTTGGTTTCCACATTCGCCAGTAATTGAATGCCAATTTAATATGTCTGAAGGCTAGGTGTTCGGCACGAAGCCTGACGATATGGATTTCGACTCGATGCGGTCTTCAGTATACACACTATAGGTATTTCATAATTAAATAAAACATTTGTCTAATGCTTCCTAGTTTCCAGTGGTTTTCCGATCAACGTTACTCCTTAGTATAAATTACATTTTCAGTTGCAGTTTTACGACTCAGTTCTATTTGTGTATTTTTATTTTTTTGAATACCAACGGGATGCATCTGATATTTTGTGATATGTTTAATTTTAAAGGAAGTGAATAGATATTTTAAAAGTCCTTTCTCTTTTGTTGTGTACATATGAATACGATAAACTTAAAAGAGAATGAACTAAGTAACTTGTATACCATAAGAACTTAGAGATGCTACATTAGAGACTAGATGAAATTAATACCTTATTCGACATTGAACGAGCAATATCAATAAATAAGAGTATGATAATAAGTAAGAGATAAATAACGGAGTAAAGTGAAGCGCAATCAAGATCTACAGAAAAGAGAAATGGTCCGAAAACCTAAGCAAAAACGAGAGAGTTTACTTCAATAAGGGCGCACGCGATAAAGTGGAATGTGAAAAAAGTAAATTTAGAAGGAAATGGTAAACGAGTTAATATAATTTCTGTTTATGTTTGCATAAAGAGTTTACTTCATAAGTTGTTTTAATTTGATATAGCCTTACGTTATCGTTACTCTTTCTGTTAAATAACTCTAAAAGCAGGTTGATAGCATTACTTTATGGGATGGTAAATCACTCATAGCAAGATCTTAAACTGAATAAGCCCAGTCTAGCTAAAGGTTTGATATATTCCTAACATAATCTGATAATTTTACGTGATTGTAAGTTGTAATTTTTAAAAATGTGTTTGCTTGTGTAGTTAACAAAAGTTTGTTTCATTTAAGAAATAATAAGAACTTGATTGCGCATGAATGTGAGCATACTGATATTAATATAATAAAACACATCTTATTACCAACTACGTATATATGTACCAGTCTCACAATCTGATTAAGGAACTTCGGAACACACAATTTGATTAATATAAATACAAACTGACTAATATGTGTCCACTGGACTACCGTACATAAATGTGTGGTTTGGCATATTATATTCAATCATGATAGGGACGCCCGGAATAACTAACTCCAGTTATAGTCATAAAAGGTAGAAGACAGAATTCTTAAGTTAATACCAAGAACGTACAATAAGTTACCGCCTGTATTTTCTTCTTATGGAACTTTGTCTATCTCTTAAGCTAATAGTTTATAAGAGGCTCTAAAGCTGTTTTCAAGCAACAGTGTGGTAAAATAATCAAAGGCTTTATTCAAAAATTGCTAACATTACCATAATTCTTTCTCCATTATAATGCGAGATACAGATACAGCCTACGAGTATCTCATTACATATAAGATTCCAATTCGTAATTTAAATAATAGTAGCTTACCATTAACCTGAGATCATGAGTTTAAATTCTGAAAGGAAAACCACTGATGGATTTTTTTAAATATTGAATTATTATTTGACTGCGTCTTGAAAATACTCCCTGACTTGTATTGTTTGCTTGTAAGGAATTGCATTATTATATGTTCGATATTCAGAACTACATTTGATCAGTCGCTATTGGCAAATGTACATTCTCAGTGGTCCTTCGATATTCCGTCAAGTTACATTTTCTAGCACAATTCTGAGTTGCTTCTAGCAGTGAAGTTCAGGATACACGTTTCGTCCTCTATGGGACTGTCAACTAAATACACCATTATTCCAATATTGATTTTCATATTTGAGTTCGGACCTAATGTTTACCATTTCAAACCTTAATAAGTTATTCATGAACATTCTCCTTGGTCTTACTTTTAGCCACAGTTCAAAAACGTACTAAAACTCATAGTGTTTAAATTGCTGTTTAAAATTATTGACTTAACATTAAACTTACATAGTGTTTTGTACAATAAATCGATTTTCTTCCTTATAAAATTTACTTACTATCCTTACATTGGTTATTTCCTTATCCTTATTTTGTCTTTTAAGCATTTTACATTTCGATTAGGTTTTAAAATAAAAATTATAAAGGATATTTGCGAACCGATTTACGAATTGAAAGAATGAAGAGTGTGAAGTTGTATTTTGTTACTGTGTGTAATCGTTTTTTTAAAAGTATGATCATGGTATAAATGTGACGAGTCATTAAGCAGACGGCTAGTTGCGTTTCTCCTTATCATTTGATTGATACCATCATATAAATATTTGCATGAAACCCCAGTTTTTGTTGCCTAATTATTTCCATGTATAAGGATAATAATTCAAACTTGATTAAAATAAAGGAAAAGAAAATTCTAGACTTCTGACCATTTCATCCAAATGAGTAAACGCATAGATGTTATATCTTGTGACCGCCGATTAGAGGGCAGTGACTTATCGATCGGATCAATGAGGCGTAAACCAGTATGAGCAGCCTAGAGTCCTGATTGACCTCACTTCCTGTCTAGCCCAGCCAATTAAGTCCAGAACACCAATCCGAGCCTCTGCGATATGAATCATTATATTTCAAACGTACTCTGTTTATATACCAATCAAACAGACCACAACGTACCATAAAATAGGAAATAACGTTTGTACAATATTTGGCCAGATGTGGCTGAGAATGTGGGAGGCAGTAACCAATATACTGGGTATAACTCAAGAATGATAAAACGTATAATAATAGTTTATGGGTCAAGATAAAGCTTATAATAAGAGGAATATGAGTATGCATAGTTTAGTTACGTAATAATTATACAATAGAAATATACGTTTAGTATTGGTCCATAAATGGATCCCAAAAATTTTCATTCACTATTCTTGTCGGGACATAACAATAGAGTTAGTGGAATTTATTTTAAAAGCAAAGATACTGGAGATTTGATGTGATTAGTATCAGTGGATTTAAACCCTTGACCTTATCTTTTAACGACTGACATGTGGTAATAAATTGTGGCCGTATCACTCTTAACGATAAATATTATTTTATATTCCGAAAGCCATTACACTCCTCAATTATTGATTGTTAATTTATTTTACGTTGTTAACTCCTTAATGTTGATCAAATCCTGTCGACCAAATTGTTATGTACTTACCAATCTAAGTGATTCGACAATATTGTGCTCGATCGTTGATGTAAAATAATTGAAAACCATTATCAGGAATTCCTGACTGACCCACGTTCTATGTTAGTTGACATTCGTCAAAAAAGTCCTCGCTACAATGCTGAAAGAACTAATGCTCCAGTTGGGATTTTTTTTATTTCAACCTTTGTCACAGTTACAAACTGTACAACTGAGTTATTCGGGTCGCATCTGGGGACCTGTAAGACTTTTATGTTTAAACAGACTATTTTTTCGTTTTTTTAACAACTAGTGTCACACAGCCTAATATAAATTTGATCTGTGCTATAATATTTAAATTTTGTGCAATGAAACTATACTAAAACATGTAATCAAGTTATAAGTTATCCCTTTATTGGTTAATTAGTTAGTCATTTTAATAGTTGAGATCATGAGTCAACTGAAGCTAGACACCCATGGAAAACCTGGAACCA